TTAGTGATTCAAGCTTTGAAAGTAAAGATACCAAAATATCCTTGAAAGTGGATCAGTCGATCATCAATCCTTGAAAGATCAGTGTTTGAATTCTAATTACTTTCCTCTTGGATGCCCTCCTTTAATTCTATTTAATTTTCGTTTCATTACAAGTTTTAAATACTGCAATTAAAAATACGAAATAGAAAGGTATTAAAAGTAACATTGTCATAAATTCTCACAAAGGAAACTAGATAACCTAAGTTCTGGTCCATCTCGAGAAAATGTTGATTACGTTCTAACAGAAGCGAATGTCCAATTAAAATTAGAACGATCCTTTACATTATGGGATATTAATAGAGACAAATGGGAAGGTTTCTAACTAAGTTTGTCGTAATCACAGGTAAAACAAACAATGGGCGTCTTGTGCAGATGAATAAGGTGCGCATCTAAATTTAGTGTCCTATCAATATGACTGTCCAATTAAAATTAGGACACTCTTTTCGATTATGGGATAATAATACAGACAAACGGAGAGGTTTCTAAGCACGTCGTAATCGCAGGTAAAACAAACAATGGGCGTCTTGCGGATTTGATTAAATTTATGGATGTTTCAATTTAGTGGCCTAATTAATATGAATGCTTTTTGTCTCTTCGCTTTCACAGATTTAATGTTACGTATAATAGTACATAATAGTATCGTATAAATTAGGAGTTAGGTGCACAAAAAATTGTATCATATCAAAACAAAACTGAATGGTTCAACGAAAAACTATTTTACAATTTTAATGCTAGTTCTTATCGAAAGAAATGCCCACTTCGCAATAGTTTTACTACTACAATAATTTTACAGTGAATTCGATGATATCTATAACACACGACGCGTACCTGTCGTTCACGATTTTAAATGAAAGGCGGTAAATTCAAATTAGCGCGCGCCGTGGTCAGTATTTCGAAACGATTTAACGCTCCTACGCAACAAGCGGCAAAACAAAAATAAAAATATGGACAGATACCTCCGTTGTGACTGACAATTGCTGCAGGTATTGGAATATCCGGAATCCGACACCTTGGCATTTTCAGTGGATATCTCTTCCATCGTTCTACTTCCTATAATGTTCCTCTGAGACGATATCCCTTTGGTCACAAACACTGTTGCTAAATTAAATGAACTTTGTGTTGGCGCATTTCTACTGTTCTTAATATTAAACTCGTTAAAAATCACGGAATAAAAGTTTTCACTTTATGTATTTAAAATTGTTAAACGACGCACCACGCGAATGATTTAAACGCGAAAATAGTATAAAGTTAACGAAGAAACGAACGTTTTCACTAGGTTCTTGGTAAACGCGAAAATAAACCACACCATGCTGCGTTTCAGTCGGCGATATCTATGAGAACTGAAACCCCGACGAGCATCGCGTATCTTTCGCGCGTAGCGACCGACTGTTCCGCATCGCACAGCACGTTTGGTAACACGTGAGCCGTACCCCCTCTATTTCTCTGTTAACCTATATCGATGCGAAACGTGCCCCACTTAAACCTCTCGAACGATGAACGCGATTAAAATAGCCTACTCCTCGCAGTGATGGGCAAAACCCTAGGATTCGAATAAATCTAAAGTCTGCCGATATGTTTGCCTCTTTTCCTCTTCCGAACATTTCCCAGAGGAAAAAACGAGACAAACACATCGGCAAACTTCAGATTTATTCGAAGCCTAGAGTTTTGCCCATCTCTGACTCCTCGCAACTTTCCGCTGGGATTAGTCTGAAAAAATTCTAGTGGCCCGAAAATTCTTGTTTACAGGCAATTGCGATACCCAGAAACGAACCTACATGAATTTACCGCGAAAATGATAGAGCTTTGCTTTTCAGCCGCCAAGAAAATATATACAAGACTCAATATTGTTCCGTGAAGCGGAGAGATTGTTTGGATATTTGTTTCTTTTTTTTATTTTATGAGATTGAAGAACTTTATTGATTATTGTACCCATTTCTCCTTGTTTATTATAAATCACAGGCTTGTACACGTGTTTTCTTCCATGTCACATTTAATTTGGTTCGCATATATGAGATCTTTAGCTTCTTAAATTACATTCTTTATATTCCTATTGGGGCTTACGAGTCCTCTTTAGCTTGGGTACCTCGGGATCGTTAAGCCCGTACTGCAGCTACAATTAAAGATAGCTACAGCCCCTGAGGGAAAATGTTATGCGTTTATAAAATTATAGAATGCGTAACAAGGTTACCAAGGGTAAATAATAAAATAATTATACAGTACATACCATTTCACGAGAAAATGAACTCTGGTAATAAGACTACGTGCGATATTCGATAAGGTAAAGCATCGTAATAAAGTTATGCATGTAACTTATGTAGGTATAAAAACTACAGTTCTGCAGGGTAGAAATATATAAAGTAATTCAAGTGAAATATTCTTTGTATTACTTATTTTTGTATTTATTCTTGTATTACTTTAGATTGCTACGTTACAAAACATAAATTATATAAAATACATTCAAATGTTGGCGCGCAATCGACGCGCCATCTCGCGGTGAATACTCTGAACTAAAATCCCGACCTCCGTACAGCGCACCACCGGGAAAATGTCTAAGTTTGTCCTCGAATAGTTCCTTTCTCCACCGTTAAATGGCGCCATTAACTAATTTTAATTAAAAAATAGCGTGAAAGCACATATGTTTATGTGCTAAGCAACCATTTGATTCTGCAATTACTATCGTGTGCATTAAAATTGTTTTAAAACTGAATTTTTTTATTCTTTAGTTAATGGCGCCATCTAGCAATTGAAAAAGGAACTATTCAAGGACAAACTTAGACGTTTTCCCGATAGGGGCGCTGACCAAATTCCGAAATTAGTTCGATGTACTACCGCTAGACGGCGCCAATTGTATGGTTTTTTTTATCGACAATTATCGATACATTATCATAATGTTGGTAATAACCATGCAGATGGCGCCATCTACACTATTTAAACATTTTTTTTAAATAGTTCATATGATATAACGCAGTAATCTAAAATAACACATGCACTTGTGGATAGACAAATGTTTAAAGGATATGTTACTTTAATCACTTTATATGTTTTTACTGCGTCTGTAGGATTCGGACTAATATGTTATCTTTTTATAGAGAAAAAACAATTCCCGTCTGCGAACTCCAGTCAACCTGCGACTCTACATCGGACGATTCTAATTCATCTACTGAAGACTTCCATCGACCCTGTATTGGGTAACATTTATAACTATAAAAACGAAAAATTAAAAATTAATATTGCTGTCTTAACAGCCATAAAAACGGATTTCCTTTAGTTCTTATTAATAATACAATATTTATATAAAAACTATTCCCACGATAAATAAACAAGAATACATTGTTTCGTTATCTCAAATAGAGCATACAGACGACAGCAGTATAACATTATCAAAATACAATACCATAGTAATAGAATATAGAGAAGTTTCTAAAAGTGGTTTTAAGATTCTATTTTATAATAACAAAATATAATATAAATATAAATGTAAATATAATTCTAAAATAGTGTAAAAGCACATTTGTTTATGTGCTAAGGAATCATTTGATTCTAATATTACTATCTTGTAAGTTAAAATTGTCTTAAAACTGTATTTTATAACATAGTAATCTAAAATAATACGTTACGGTCACTGGCTTCGCTGTGGAAACGCGCGAAATTTCAATTAGTTATGTGAACATTCAAAGTAATTTCTACATAATATATAAATTCTAATAAATTACGTTAGAATAGACGATCTAATTTTTTTAATTTGTTACTTTAAAAACAATATATTTAACTTGGATAAGTTGAAAAATGAATACACATTGTTTTAATACTTCAAGAAATATACATGTTCTTTGAAGAGAGTATGGAAGGGTTAAGGGAGGGTCGTAACATAACATATTGTTTTTATACAAAGATCGTTTTATTGTACAATTGTTATGAAAATATTTTTAAAAATATCTAAAAATTAATAAAGTGTAAATATATGCACTATAAAAAAATTAAGCACAATTGCTTCCCGATTAAATGTAACATTTTTAGTCTAATAATAAAAGAGAGAAACAATATAAAATTATAATTTATTATACGAGTCTTATACGTCTGATATATATATATATAATAATATATATATAATATATATATATAATATATATATATTCAGAAATATTTTACTTTGCTATATCACAGTCATCAGGTACACATCTTTGAATCCTTCAGGGATCCTGCAAGTGAAAAGAAAAAACATGTCAGGTTAATGAGTAATATAACACGTAAACCAGGACACTGTTCAGTGTGAAAAAAAAATAAGTGAAAGTCAGTGTAAGGTTTGAATACTTAATGTGTATTTAATATCATCAAACAAGTCAGTTACAGTCTCCTAAAACATCATTCCGTATGGTCATTAAGTAAAACAGTCTAACACACGTACAAAAGTGTCCATCATAAAACGTTTATGTTGTGCGTCAATCACTGGTGTTTGACAAAAATTGTGATTATGGACATAACATCAATTGCCTAAGAAAACGTATTTTTCTTGATCACATTGAACCTAATTATAGAAAATAACATGCTGATATATTTTATGCAAATATATCTATTCACGTTAACATACGTGAAGCGAAGTATTTCCAAAACAAGATGTACTCGCGTTTCATTGAAAAATTTGATAGTTTTTTTTAACTCGAAATTATCAATTTCTTATAAACTAATTTCGTCTACAAAAGGACATAATAAAATATTATATCCAGTAGAATCGATGATTTACAATCATCCGATATAAATAACTATTATTGTATCTAACCTACAATAAAATGTAAGATACGCTTTACTAAACTTAAATTTTCGAATTAATATATACAATTCCAATGAACAGAAACATTTTCCTTGAAAAACTTACTTTGCGTTATTTTTCACGAAATAGCATATATTAGTATGTAAAATTGCATCTATAAGACTACAAGAAGTTAAACTTCTTTGGAGAATATATCTTGTTTTGGAAGAAATTCTATGAATTATCTTTATTACGACTTATTATCGTAAAAATATTCCTTGATATATATACAAGAAATAAATTACTTTACGTTTTCTTCCATGTTCGGTACAGCTAATAAATGAATAGTACAGAACTATTAAATACAAATTATAAACGAAAATTGGTTTTACTAACTTTAAAGCACAGGTTATATTTTAAAGCCTGCGCGAATAGTTAGCAACAATATTTGCAATTAACAATAAATATTCTTTTTTTCTGAAACAAAAACATATATTTTTGAGAAGTAATTTCATCTTTTGTTTCTTCCCTAAATCTCATTTCTCTTGATTTATAGAGGATATATCTTTTTTCCGAAATTTGGCGGGAAAAATTTTCATATGAATATGATTTTTATATAAAAGTATAGATATATAGAAATCCTCTTACCTCTGGCTAATACTTGTAGTATATTAGGATAAGAACAGTGAACACCTCAAATATATAGTGTTACATAACTTCCTTATGCTAAAGGAAGAAGTTTCGAATTTAACTAGTTTTATGTGTTCTATATATTTTTAAATTGAATCTTTAAGATCACTTTTCGCACAGGCCTCTTAAAATAATAAACTCAGGAAGTCACGTGTATGTGTAACGATATGTACGGATAAAGTAAAGTATCGTTAAAGTTTCAGTAACGTTGAAATCGCGAACGTATGCAATAGTTAAAAGTAGATAGTTGGAGTAGTTTCCTTGGATGCGGGCCCGACGTGGTCAAGTGAGTCTTAAAATTCGTCTCATTTATTGCGTGCGTCCAGCTTGTGTATACCAGTCAGTCTGTGAAGACAAATAGAAAAATTACATTTTCTCCTGTTTTCCGACTAAAGTAATCGTCAGTTACAACGTCAGGGTGTTAATATTTAAATTGCCTCTCCCTTTTTCTCCTCCCTTTTTCTCTCTTTGCCATGTGCTCATCGATCTACTTACGAGGTATACAAAAATATTCAATTTTCATCTTCATCCATCCGAAGTCGTTTTCTACGATCTTCGCCGACGTTTCGCTCTTCAGCTTCTAACACTTTTAGTCGAGAACCACAAATTTCTTGTCCATGTAGAACCTATCAGAAAGATTAACCATTTTACGTTTGAATCGATCTTTTAAATGTATTTTCCATTTAGTGAACTTGATGTTTAAAGTTAGAAAAATATTACAACATACGTCAATTGCGTCGTTTGCACTTTCCACGCTAGCATACTTTGCATAACCACAATTTTTCCCTGGCAACATATAAACGTCTATAAGATTTCCAAATCTACAGAAAGCATCCTTCATCGCGTATATGGGTGGTACTGGAGGCCCACATACAATGAAACATCTTTTAGCAACTTCTGCATCTATACTAGCCATAGGTTGTGCAGGTGGTAACTTACTAGACATTGAATGTTCTAGACCTATTATTACATAAAACTATAATTATCCAAGCCCAACTGAGTATTACCATATGGTACAGATCAGTGTTTCTAAAACACTTTTGTATTTATTTTTATTCGTTGCTTTAGTGAACAAAACAGGAAATGTTTAAATGTAAAAAATTTGAAACCATTTGATGTTTCGATGTTTGAGAAACACTGAAATAGATAAAATAATCTCTCACTTGGTGCAGTTAGTCCTGCAGCTTGAATTAAAGATGTAGCTTGAGCAATTGTTTCTGCCAAATGTACTAAATCTGTTCTAGCATTAGTTCCACCTGTAGAACTTCCAGGTTTCACAACTGTTTTTGTTGGAACACTTGATAAATCTGGTTTAACTATCATCCTATGACCAGGAGGATATTCAAAACCATGAAATTTCTCTTTTGCATACGCTGCTGCACTAGGATTTGAATACACTACAACTGCCTGACCTCTTGGCATTCTACATCTGACGTCATTTTTCAAATGACAATAATCTAAACCAGGTACAATATCAAACAATTTCCATAATTGATCTTGATTTAATATTGGATGAGCAATTACTTGCAAATGTGTATATCCTTCAGAATTTGGATAATTTGTAGCAATTTCTAAACTAACACTGCTCTTTCCAAAATTAGATGAACTATAACCTCCACAGATACTATCATAATGAGGGGATACTCCATTATTATATTTTACATCAGTATGCTCAGGTTTAGGTTTTTTTGGTTCAGCAAAGACAGCTCTATATTTCCTATCACACTCTTCAAATGCTTTTGCAGCACTAGATACTTTTTTAAATTTTACATAACCAAAACCTTTAGATTCGTTTGTATTTCTATCTTTGACTACAGTTGCATATTCAATAGATCCAAATTTGGAAAATTCTTGTTGAAGTTCGCTGTCAGTCATAGATTTAGGTAATACACAAAACAAACGAACCCATCTTTCTTCTTCATTTGTTTCCCTCACGGAACCCTGATCTCGACTACAATAAATACATACATTTACATGTTTCTGCACAAGTGCAATCACAAACTGACACTTAAAAGATAATTCAAAATACTATTTGACATCTTACTTGGAAGCAATCATTACTTTTATAGGTCTTCCAACTGAGCCCAACATTTTTCCATTCATTTCTTCGAGGGCAAAAGCTGCCTCTGATGTTTTCGAAAACTTGATATATGTGACTCCTACACAAACAATACGTATGACTTAATAAATATTTCTGATTATGTACACAAAATATGTGAACAGTGTCAGGTATAAGAGAGGTATATCGAAAAACTTAGGTACGCATAAAACACGCATAAACAGAAATAGAAAACACAGCGAAAGGATTATTGATTTTGTCTTTAAACACAAGAAATTACCTTTATTTTCGCCTGTGTTCCGGTCTTTAACCACCCATATATCTTCGATCTTTCCGAATTTTTCAAACGCTTTCCTAAGATCATCTTCTTCCAAACTTTTATGGCATATAACAAACAAACGCGAATTTGGCGGATCGTCATTTTTCGATCGTAAATCCGTTTGTGAATAATACGAATCTCGTTCCTTGTGGTCAGCCATTTTACAAATGAACGCTATGAGTGTGACTGAGCTGTGTCGCCCGTCTACGGTCAGTGAAGCAGACACGTTTCAGGGACGGCTTAAAAGGAGGTTCATGCTATCAATTTTCAAATGTTATTTTTCTTTTTTTATATTCACTTTATAAATTGTACAATTACACGTATCTATGTTTTTAACATAAGTACTTCGAATATTTATTTCCATCTGAACGCGAAGGAGGAACTTTTTTTTTTTAGAAAGCTCACGCAACTGAAACCGGTTTTAGAATGCATAAATCAATCTTCTTGTCATCTTATAATATTAAATATTTAAAGAACCATATAGTATAATTATACCAATGAATCGTATCCTAGTATTTCGCAAAAGGAATATTTAATAACGCAAGCTACACACATTTCTGATCACATTTCGTTTTATTTAACTTCGGTGATTCATGCCCGCGAAATTATTTTTATTTAGATTTCTATTTTAATCTATGCGGATACTGTAGATCTGTGCATTGTTTCTTCATGGATTCTATTTAAAAAAAAACTATGTATTTCATGAATTTTAGTATTTCAGTACATAAATACATATATACATATCAAGTTTGCATTATTTCGAAATGCGGTATTGTAAGTAATTGGAGTGAAAAATAGGTTAGGTTAAATTACTTCCGCGTAGTTTTCTCGTGTTACTCGTCAAATTAACAAGTCATGCTCTATTTTTTCGTAGTAACTTTCTTATATAAAAGAGATAGGTATGCACGCGATCAAATATTGATAATATTGATATACATAGGTATCTTCTGTATACAAATATTTTTCTCATTGTACTTGCTTCACAATAATTACAATAAAATAATAAAAATATAATAGAAAATAAACCAATGACAAAACAAGTATTACTTTCCCTTCTCATATATTAGAATAGAATAATCATATGTACAAAAATACATTTAATACATATTTTCAAACAAAATTGTACATTGTTCAGCATGAACTGTTTTTCCAACAATTTTCACAACCACGTGTACATCATTATAATGTATAGGGTGTATTGGAATATTTGTTAACCATAATAGTAACATCAATATAACACCATACGTGCATTCTCTCATATAATTTTACAAAAAATGTCTTAATCTCTTATACATCATATGTAGAAGCAGAGACATTACCACCGTGCCCTGTCCAATTTGTGTGTACAAATTTTCCTTCTTGGCCTAGTAATTCATAAGTGTGAGCTCCAAAATAATCCCGTTGAGCTTGAAGTAAATTTGCTGGCAATCGAGCAGTTCTATAACCATCATAGAAAGCTAAAGCAGTTGACAAAGCAGGAGTTGGTATCCCAAGTGTTACAGCTGTAGACACTACTACTCTAGCACTGGCTTGACATTCCTTCATTGCATTAGCAAAGAATTCGTCAAGTAGTAAATTGGAAAGTTTTGGATTTTTGTCAAATGCTTGTTTTATATTTCCCAGGAAGGCACTAAAACAATAAATCTTGACATAAAACATACTGAAGGAATTACTATTTAAATAGTTATAGAATTTATCAAACGATGGATGTACCTTCTAATAATGCATCCTCCTCTCCACATAAGAGCTATACCACCATAATTCAAATTCCAATTGTGAAGTTTGGCAGCTTCTCGCAGCAACATGAATCCTTGTGCATAAGAAATAATTTTGGATGCATAAAGAGCATTTTTTAAATGCACTAAGAACTGTTTCTTATCGCCTTGGAATACAGCATCAGGACCTTTCAATACAGAGCTAGCTTCTATTCTCTCACTCTGCAAAGCAGAAAGGCATCTGGCAAAGACTGATTCACCAATTAGCGTAACAGGAACTCCATAATCTAAGGCAGCAATAGCTGTCCACTTTCCAGTTCCTTTCTGACCAGCCGTATCTCTAATTCGCTCAAGCAAGAAACCTTTCTCATCCTTGTATTTAAGAATATCTCGAGTGATCTCAATTAAGAAAGAATCCAGTTCTCCTTTATTCCATTCATCAAAGACTTTGCTCATCTCTTCTGGATTAAGTTTCAAACCATTTCGCAAAATATGATATGCTTCACAAATAAGTTGCATATCACCATATTCAATACCATTATGTACCATTTTTACAAAGTGTCCAGCACCTGTTTCTCCAACCCAATCGCAACAAGGTTCTCCATTAGACTTTGCTGATATTGACTGAAAAATTAATATTTTATCAGTTCATTTGACTTCTAAATGTATTAAATAAATGATTGTATTTATGTACCTGAAAGATGTGTTTAATATGTGGCCAAGCTTTTGGATTTCCACCTGGCATCAAAGATGGTCCATATCTAGCACCATCTTCACCTCCACTAACTCCACTACCAACAAATAAAATTCCTTTCTTGTCTAAATCTTTAGTTCTTCTTTCAGTATCTTGGTATTCAGAATTACCACCATCAATTATAATATCGCCAGGGGATAGTAAAGGCACTAATTGTTCAATAAATGCATCCACAGCAGCACCAGCTTTTAAAATAATATATAATTATGTATAATTAGTTCCATTATGTTAAAGTAAAAAAATAATATAATATGTATCTTACAATATTAATAAGACTTATACATTTATTATCAATTATATATCTATATCTTATCATGTGTAAGTGATACAATGATATTGCAAGGTCAAAAAACTATCCTAGGGCAAGGTCAAATTACAATGTATTACCTTTAACTAAAAGCATTACTCTTCTTGGTGATTTCAATTTCTCCACCATCTCTTTCAATGAAAATGCACCAATAACTTTTGTGCCTTTTGCTTCATTTTGCAAGAAAGATTTGACTTTATCCGTGGTACGATTGTATGCGCAAACAACAAATCCATGATCATTCATGTTTAGAATTAAATTTTGCCCCATGACAGCCAAGCCAATAAGGGCTATATCTGCAACTCTATAAAACAGAATAAATTTTTAATAAAACTGTGCGTGGATCAAATATATATACATATATTTATGGAAAATGTTTTATATAAAAGGAAGCTCCTCAAGCTAATTGTAATATGATGAAATAGTGCCTCATAAATCACTGTAAATGTATTCATATTTCAATTAGCTCAAAAAAAAAAAAAAAAAAGAATTGTGGAATGAATTTGATAAAAGTATAAGCTTTAGATTTTTTGTATAAATTCAATTTGAACTTTAATTAAAATAATAGTAAAAATTACTTACGGTTTGGTCATTTTGTAAAAATTGTAAACACCGATAAAATAAAATATAATTCGTCCTCTTTGGTGTAATACGAAAGAGCAACAAGTGGTCGAATGATTTTACCGCAAAGATCGAGAGTGAACATTCATTCTCAAGTACCTTTAGCATCAGCCGACTTCCCGCTGGCCAATCGCGAGTCACCCAAGGTCAGTACAGAGTCAACACTATGTGAACACCACTACTATATAAGAATTTCATAACTGCACTACCACAGAAACATATTTTGAATGAAGCACATGCCACAATGGTTAATTCAAATTCGAACTTGTACTTTCCTTTTTATAAAATCGTCAGGGAAATATTTTAAATGTATCGAAAAGTGTGGTGAAAAATGTACATCATCATTCAGGAAAAGCTAATTACAGTTAGTGGTTAAATACGTATTACAATGAAATCTTACGTAATAGCCGTATTTTTCCTAATAAAAGAATGATGAAGCAACATGAATTGCTGAATTGTATAAAATAATTCTTTGTTGTAATAGTCGTTAGACTAAAATAAACAAATTCTTCTTATTCATATTATTATGACAAATATTTTTTTATATTCTAAAGAGTATTTTCGGGTATTGTCGAGAGATGATTGGACCGATCGAATGTATGGATGTTTTATATAGTATATGACAGAGCAAAGGAACAAATGGTACATTAAAAAAAAAAAGTATTCATAAAGTCAGTGAACACTCGTGATTCTTAATATTGTAATTTATTCTAACTGGATGCCACAGAAAGTGGAATTAATATTTACAATCTATGAATATTTATCGTTGAATGATCGTAATGCTAAAATTGCAAAGCATAAAGTTTCCTCTTCTCTTTTTATTAAGAAGATGAAAATGTGTGATGATTCAGCGAAATCGACTAGATCGTCTAAATGTTACACGTGCACTAACGATTTTCAAAGAAATCTAAGATTTTCGCGCGCTTCGCATGAAACACTTTCCATCCAATCAGTACATGTGTATCCAACCTAACGTCATTTTAAGGTATTGTCGAGAGATGATTGGACCGATCGAATGTATGGATGTTTTAATTGGAAACGCAACATGTCGCGATTTGCTTGATTAGATTAGGGAAGGTCCTCGTATATTTCTTTCACATTAGCGTTATACTTAGTGAATTTTCAGCAGTTTGCAGCAATTCTTAAGTATATTATTTACGTTGCAATGCGCCGATAATGTCGCTAATCTCTCAGAAATATGTTGGGAAAAGGTTTCATGGAAAGGTGAACATAACCCTACGACAATGAGATGCACCATTTCTGAAGCGAAATACATCCTTTTTATCGAGAATAAGACTGTACAGTGATACGATTAAATAAATATTATTGTCCAAGTTGTTTAGTGCTTCGAACAATATGGGATTATTATTCGCAAAATTGTGGAGTCTTTTTGGCAATGAAGGTAAATTCAATACATCCACTAACAGTATTGTGTCAGAGTTATTCGATTGCTTTGTGTATTGACATATAACTAATGTCAAATAGAATGTATTCATGTTTGATCATTTGTAAAGACAGCGAAAATTTGCTTAACATATTATGTAGCATGTAAATATGTATGAATAGTAACTGTATATTTGTTGCTTTTTGTCTCCATGAAATATTTATAAAAATATAGAAATAAATAAATTGTATCAGATGTTTTTGTCAAATGTAATTTATCACACATAATAAAATTGATAAGAAGTCTAGCATAGATAACATTATATTGACTTCATGATTGCTTTCTTGTAGAGTTCACATTTTGTAGAAAGCATAAAGTGAAAGTTTGTTCCAATCACTTAGAAGTTTATATAATATTTACAATTGAACATTTAAAATAGACATATGTACCTCTAATATGTACTATTGTAAATAATTTAAGACATGGAAATCTGCTTTGTGTTTATCATAACTAATTTTATAGTTAACTTATGTATCTGATTAAACCTTACATTGTCCTACTTTAAACATATGCTAACATATGTTTTCTCAGTTACTTCTTATGTAGTATTCTATGTAGTTTATGTACAATACAAAATTATTATTTATATAACATACCATTTGTATTTTATTATGAATTATATAATCACATAAACATTTTGATAGATAATTCAATAATTATGACTGTTCTGTTTTATTTTTTAGAACATAAAATAGTTATGGTAGGTTTGGATAACGCTGGTAAGACAACAATCTTGTACCAGTTTCTAATGAATGAAGTTGTTCACACATCACCAACTATTGGTTCCAATGTTGAAGAAGTAGTTTGGAAAAATATCCATTTTATAATGTGGGATTTAGGTGGACAACAAAGTTTACGAGCTGCATGGTCCACTTATTACACTAACACTGAGTTCATAATTATGGTCATAGACAGTACAGATAGAGAAAGACTCGGTGTAATACGAGAAGAATTATATTCTATGCTAAACCATGAAGAATTAAGTAAAGCCAATGTCTTAGTTTATGCTAATAAGCAAGATTTAAAAGGTAGCATGACAGCTGCTGAAATTTCTAGACAACTGGATTTGACATCGATTAAAAAACATCAGTGGCACATACAAAGTTGTTGTGCACTTACAGGAGAAGGGTAAATATAGAATTTATTTTTGTTATGCTATTCATGTATAAGACAAAACAAATTAATCATCCACAACATTCTAGGCTTTATCAAGGTCTAGAGTGGATTGTTGGACGCTTAAAGAAGACATGACGTACATTATGAGGATTCATTTTAAATATAATAAGATATTTAAAATGTAAAGTATATGTTTATATAAGTTACTGTGCCACTTTAATGATTGTACAAATGAAACGAGTATGAATGATCATTTTTCAAATGGTACACTAGCTTCATGCATAACTTAAAGTGTCACTGTATATGTTGATTACAATTTTTGCTGCAGACACTTAACGTATCAAATGGTGGACGGGTAAATTTTGTCTTATCTATTAATGTGATATGAAAATATAATGGCAAATGATTGTATCTATAATGTAAGAGTAAAATAATGTTTTAACTAATCTCTACATAAAAAATATTTAAGGAAATCATGTTATAAAAGAAATTCAAAAGATTTAAAATGTCAGGAGTCTTTTATGGAGATTATTATTGAATTAAGAAGAATCTGTATAGCAACTTTTTTTTTATCTGTCTATGAAGAGATGTATATTACGAACATTCTACAACAGGACTGCCAAATTAAATGTATTACGTATAATTACGTGTTACTACTTTTAACTATAAATACTGCATTTAAATTACAGTCTGAGAAGTATAAAATATTATTTTTGATTCGGTAATACATTTTAACGGAAATTCTGTATGTACGCGTGAAAAGTATAGAATTTAATCTCGATCCCGTCCACCTACGTTTATAGTAAACGAAGAATAGATAATTTATTGGTTCTATTTGATTGATATGCGGACAGAAACTAGTTTGCTCTGCGCGACTTCCAAAACTATACCTATGTACATAGTTTTTTATACTCCGCATTAATAGTAAACAATTGTAAAAAGTAAACTCCGATTTAGCACCAATTAAACCACATATTTTTCAAATTTCTGTGTGAGAATTTAAACAATTCATAGGGCTTAATACTGCATACATCTTATAAGATTTCATGGCTATGTTATTCAATTGATTGAACTAAATATTTAAAAGCAGAATACTAACTGCTCTGTGATATGTGGATTCAACAGTGAGACGGTTGTTTGTTGGGAACATTCACTCTGCATTCTATAAAAGAATGGTAACTATGTAGTAGAAAGTATGCTTCACATAAATACAAAGAGATTATTTTGTTGTAAAAGAAAACTGATCGTCTCATTGTAAATATTACGAATCTTTTTAATGCTTCAATCCATAAATATCCAATTGACAGCTGTCTCATTTATTTTATTTACTTCATAATTATAACGACTAATTTTTGTGTAGTTAGAAATACTCCAGTATTTAATATCTATTAAAATTTAAAATATTAATTGCATATGCAAAAGATCATTATAGACATTGTTAAGATCATTGTATGAAAGATAAATGCCGTCTAAGCCAGAGTGAGATAATACATTTAAAATTTCGTAAAAATAAACCGTAGTTTTCTCATATTGAGAAACAAAGCAATTAATTGTCTTATATATATGATACAATACTGCAAATTATAAACGATACTATTGTATATTCTCGTTAATAGTTTTTCTTATGTAACAATTCCGAAATACACAGTACAAGTTATGGTTCGTTTTACTTTATCGAAGGTTGTAAGTACACAAGTCACACCAGTCACATATGCTTGTGCACGTTTAAACTTCACAAATGGCATGATTTCATTTTTTAAGTTAAAAATTTAGGAAAATGTAATTGTATCGTTCATTATTAATGAATTCGTGTAATATAAATTGAATAATTGCGTATGAGGTCGATAATTAGATGAGGAGTGAAACTAATGTAAAATAAATTTATCAAATTTTCTTTTGCAGGAAATAGGCAAAGAATCAAGTATTGTAATTTTGTTAACACACAGTTTCCAATTTCCTTTGATTATGTTTTTGTTTTCGAATACTTCGCATTATTGAATCTCATTGACGACAGACATAACTTGATCATAGGTCAATGTTATGTACATGTTTCATTAGTTGTTTCATATAAAAAAACTCAAAATTTTCCAATTTATGTAATGAAATCTTTTAAATAATAATAAATATATTTTATCGTATTTTGTTTTGTACTTCGATGTACTTCTATAAAAAAGCAACCAATGTTCTAAGTTACGGGAAAAGAGGAGACGAAATGTTCAATTTTCAAAGATCTATTTTATTTTTACGTTCGTTATAAATAAAGTATCGCACACACTCACTCATTCTTGTAGCAGTGGATCTACCACTGGTCATATTTTTTAATTTACGTAAAGTGTAACGATCGATGTGATTGAGCCATATTTTTTTTCAACATATTCGTAGAATTTAGAACCAAAAATTAGTGCGCTAACACTGCAATATTGTTTACATATTTCATTAGCCCTATGCATTATATTTTCTATTTTACATAATTTACTAAGGCCAGTTGCGTTTTGCAAATATTTTGTTGGAGAAACATGATGTAATATTCACGCAATGCCTTTTTACTATAGTAGTCGAATGTTTATTGCGATTCATTTGCATTCGAAAAATTCGGATATCTTTCGGCAGTGTCTGTCAGATTACAAAACAGTGTCTGCATAACGTTGACTACGCACACAGCTAACTTTTATACCGATCATTTTCGTGAGTTAACTAGTTTTTATTACAATGATTTGCATCTTTTTCTTTTACTTCTAAAATTGTCACTATTTAAGTTAAACGTAGAGCGACAAATATATTTACAATGAACCGTGTCTACTGTTAACGCATGGTATTATATTCTTATTTAAGGGCTTGGCAGTTGAAACTATGTATACTGGACCAATCTATATTTCTTATATGTGGTTTTACATATCGCAAAATGTTAACCTCATTTACGTGTACAGTATATACACCGTTAACGGATGAAAAAAATATAGGTCAACTATTTTACGATATAACACACCACCAAATTTTATTTTAGAATGTCTACGTTTGAACAATATATTAGGTGAGATAATTTTTTATTGTCTCTAATACCTAGCCTCGCGTCTTATTAATAAGACGCGACAATTAAAACGACTTCCTTGAAGTCATATTAAAATGAATTCGAAATGTGTTCGAGATTTACACTTTTCGTGCATCGATAACATTCGTAACATGATATAAAGCAGTCAGTTCCTTGTTGCTGAAGGTTATGACGATGGTGTGACACGAACTTAGAGGTTTCAATGATTCTGTTTCGTTTTCCATAAATAAAGAGATGTTGTCCTTTAAGCTTTGCAGGCTTTCATGAGGAGATCGGTGCTTAAAGATTTGGGCCTTTCGATCGGAAGTCCAAGAGCACGGTCCCAGACGAGGGAAGCGAGCACACCAAGAGCACGCGATACTCCGAACAGGACGGTGTAGTAATTCATTTCTTTCATTCCATAGTATTGCAACAGAACTCCCGAATGAGCATCTACATTCGGCCACGGGTTCTTGACCTTGCCAGTTTCCAAGAGGACGGGAGGAACAACTTTGTATACTTGAGCAACGAGCTGGAAACACAAACATCATCGATTATACATAAAAATCCAACACATTATCTATTAACCTATCACATAAAATGATAGGACACTATACTTTCAAATAAAGTCATAGAGATACTTTACCTTGAACAGTTTATCGTCCGGCAAATGTTTCAACGCGAACTCTCTCTGGCAGGTATATCTAGGGTCAGTCTTCCTAAGCACAGCGTGTCCGTATCCGGGAACAACTTGGCCGCTCTTCAGAGTATTCCAAATGAAGTCTTTGAGTTTCTCGTCGCTGGGGCTATCTCCAACTTGGGCGCGTAGTTTCTCCAGCCACACCAATACTTCTTGATTCGCGAGACCGTGAAGAGGTCCAGCCAGACCGTTCATGCCAGCCGCGAACGACAGGTACGGGTCGGACAACGCCGAGCCTACCAAGTGAGTCGTGTGAGCAGAAACGTTTCCACCTTCGTGGTCGGAGTGGATAGTCAGATATAAGCGCAACAGTTCGATGAATTGGGGGTTATCGTAGCCAAGCATATTCGCGAAGTTCCAGGACCAATCTTTGCCAGCATCGACGGATCCCAAACCTTTGCCACCCTTGTAAATGTTTCTGTATATCGTGGCGGCGACTACTGGCAATTTAGCGATCAAGTTCATCGAATCCTCGTAGACGGTCTCCCAGTACTTGGATTTGTGTACACCCTTGGTGTACGCCTTGACGAACTCGCTCTCGCTGTTCAGAAGGGTGATGGCAGCAGAGAATTGAGTCATTGGATGAACTGATTTGGGCAAATTGTTCAATGCTTTGACCACGTGTTCGGGCAGAGCACTTCTCGACGCCCATTCCTGAGAAAGGGCTTTCGCTTGGGCATCCGTGGGCACGTCACCGGTGATCAACAACCAGAAGAGACCCTCTGGAATCGGCTCCGCACCTCCGGGAGCTTTTGGCAGAAGCTTTTGGCACTCGGGAATCGATTTTCCTCGGAATCTGATACCTTCTTCGGGGTCCAATACCGACGGTTCCCATACGAGACCTTTGATTCCACGCATACCGCCGTACATCTGAAAAGTTATGATAATTAAACTATTTGGTAACATATTTGGTAATAGAACTTATTTGATTCTACATGTGAATTGAATTTGTATTAAAAAAAAAATGTTCATAAAATTGAATTAAGGTTTCTTTTCAAATACTGTCCACCAATGTTGTATTAACTTTTTGATATAATTTTTAATAAAAGTACTCATTGCAATAGACAATTCCTGTGCTTCCAAGTGGACAGAAGTTTCCCAGCCAGTTAATTATATGCGTATCGCGATCACATGATAAGCACGCGACATACGCTCATTCGCTACAGTTCTTATCAGCGCTAGAAAAAATAACCGGTTGACTATATCTTCTTTAAAAAAAATTCTTCCTTCGCGTTGTGAGGTCAACGTGACGTTTATGCTATGCTCATACGTGTTCTCTTCGTCGCTACGACCTATTATCTCATTTCCAACATCTTTACAATTAATAAGTTTACTTGTCGTCATATACTTACGATACGCATGATACATCAGAAATGTTGCATAATGATTAAACGCATACCATGTCTACGGTAACTTCTCCAACTTTGGTGCCTCCATGCTGTTTGCGGAAATTCTTGACACGTTCTTGTTCCTTGGGAATTTTCTCGGTCAGAACCTTCTTCAGATCGGTGGAACTATCGGATAACGGTCTCACGAAGACGGTGGAAGTTATTTTCTGAAAAAAAAAAAAAAAAAAAAAAAATCGAATTAATTAAATGACTTCGTATTAAAGTCAGACAAACAACAGTTAGATAAAAAATCTAATTAAAATTTTATTTACTTGTCGGGGAAATTTCTTATCTAGACAAAGATCTTATTTTGCAGCACAAATAATCGATAACTTTTGGCGTGCACCTTTTTCCATAATAATTAGCAATTAGAATCTAAATTCTAAAGTGAGTTTGAATGAATGGAAGCTTATCAGGAAATCTGTTTAATGAAAGAAACGTGGAAAATAAATCGTCTCACGCTATTTTTATTCGAATAATTTTTTTACTGATCTCCGGTTGTGATTATCGTATCGTTTCCATCAGCAGACACTCGATGGCATTGAAAGTTTTTTGTTTCGTGCTTCGGTGAGCTCATTATACCGTGAAAAGAAATAGCAATACTTTCTCTCGTTATCAAATATTTGCGACAAGAATAATGATAAAACGAGCACCTCTGCTTTTTTGAAAAATATTTTTGTCATTCAAATTCGTGACAATAGATTTCAGTTTTATCAGAGAGTTTAAATTGCGTAAAAAAAAATTCTGTTTGGAAATCATTTTAAGTTGTTAAAAGAGAAATGGTATATGATGTTTGCGTTGTTCTCATTGGGTAGTAAAACATAACATAACTTGCATAATAAGAGAGTTATAATTATTATATAAATTTTGGGAAACGTTAATTGTATTACAAATGTATATTACATGTTATGTATAATTTATTATTATATATATGAGATTTAAACTTACAGTGCATTATTTATATACATGTAATATTATATAATACAAGTTGTATCGATTTATTTTTATTTTTATTAAAATCTAATTAACGGTACATCTGCAAAAGAGTCAATATATAAATAATGTAAATTAAAATAAATGTTCGTTATGAATAGGAATCGAAGTACATAGTAATGTACTCGAGTTTAACGAACAAACGTGCGTGACTGGTAGATTACATAAAATGAACGAATGGCACATAATGATACATTTGCTTCGTAGAACTCACACGTGAGCGGGATGTCGTGACGGTTTCGCGAACATTAAAATTGATGTCCAGCAATAAATAAATTCAACGTAGATTATCTACAACAGTTGTTTCACTTCTATTACGGAATTATAAAAATTGTGTGAAATAAAATATTTATCTGCTATATCTATGTTATAATTATATCGTAGTTATTTAAGGATTATACGTATGCATAATATTCATACCATTTAATTGTATTTACTACTTATTTATTTTTTAAATAATTCATATAAAATTAAATTTGATAATATTAGGAATTACGAACGTTGAACGGCAGTTATAATTCAGAATTAATAGTTCAAACATTATTGAACATTCCAATAGTGTCGATATCAATGAGCGTTGTCATACGATTATCGTTTTTCTTTAGTTTCTTTATGCGGATAGTATCGAAGACCATGAGAACTTCTATAAACCACGAGCTTCACCTCGAGGTCACGGGTCTCGCGTTAAAGTTCATTATCAAATTGCAGACCATAGTAAAGTACACCGTTTAATGCTATATTAACAAAAAAAAAAAAAGTATTGCGAATGACATCGTATCGATCGAATCGATTACGACTCTATCGGTGAATATATCGTGAAATAGGAAGTCCAGTACTAAATTCTCGAATATTCGTCCCAAAATGATGGGCTTATTTTTAGCAGAGTATTTCATAATAATTGCATCGATAAACTTTGCTCTGTGATAACGTATCAAAATTAAAGTTGGGACTATAACCGTTGAATTTTTTTTCTGTATAGGAATATTTGAATAATCGGGCGATTCAAATATTCGATGAATATAATGTGGATGGTATAAGAGTATATATATAGGATTGATTTTTTTTGTTAATCTTTCGAATTTTTTATCAATTATAATTTGTTGGTAATGGGAGCATGTAGACGGCAAAAATTCATGAATGCTACCTCCCCCTAGTGTCTGTCTCAACGTTTCAGATTTCCTGTTCCTTGTTTCGAACTTCCGGTTGCCATTATTCTTCTTTTCAGAACATGCTTCGCATTGTCCAATCGACCGATATAATATTTCACGCTGAATGGACAATAATCGTGTACCTTTTATGGATGATCAAACCATTAAATTGTTGCTCTTACATTTTAGACCAAAAACGGTTTTAAGGGTGGAAACATTCTTTCCAAATAATTTTGCTTATTTATATTTTTGCTGACATCTTTGGAACCATAAGACATATTGGAAAAATGCTAAGTACAAAATTTATATTCTATAACATCATAGAATTGTTCCCAAAAATTTACAGCACTGTTAATAATGAACATTTCGAATCGAAACTTTTTTTTCCTTGTAGATCTCACGGAACCCTACAAAAAACATATAGAAAGTTTTCTTCTAAAGTGAAAACCTAATTTTAAACAAAATGAAAGAATGAATTTTTAAGAATTCGCAAGGAGGTCGCCTCTATCGATTTTAGTCAAAATAACAAATTGTCTATAAAAATGATTTTTCACTTCCTCGGTTAAAATGAAGCATACTGTGTTAAATAACATAGGACAAATTTTTATTATCTACGAGAAAAAAGATTTCCAAACAATAGAAGAAAAATAATTCGAGACAGAAGAACTTCGAGAAATATTTGTTTCTCGAAAAAAACATATTTGACAACAATTTCATATCTAATCGAGATGTACAACTTTTATTTAACCTATTTTCTCAAACCAATTCTTCAGTTTCTTTTGTTTTGCTAACGACTCAGGAATCTTCAATTCAAGATAGTACTAAATCCATGGCAAACCTCGGTGCAAACATCGATATACGACCGCGTTTTGTGACGTCCATGAGGAATTAGGTCGAGGTAAAATCTCGACAAAAACGCAATGGGTATACTGACCGAGTTCCTGTTGGATTTTGACATTCATCGATAAACCTTAATTGCCGAATGATGAACTCGTACTAATTAACTGATAATCGCCTTCGTCGGACCAAATTTCAATGTCTTTAATTGTTCAGGGAAGTTAAATAATCTTCGTATACTTGGTACATTACTATAAAGTATTCAGTAAATAATTGTTTGCTTACTTATGTAAATAAAAAAAAGAAATAACTACAAAGTCGATAGATTTAAAGATATTCGAGAACGATCGAAACGAGATACCCTGTATGTGATGTAATACTGTTCAAGGTCATACAAGGTCAGGCCTAGCAAGAGTTCTTCAATCTACACTTCGACGTAAGAATAATCATTACAAGCGTTTTGCAATTCAAATAACCGTCACGAGGCATTAATCCGCAAAATGAAAGTAAAAACTTGTCAATAAATAATACATTCAACTACTGTGGCAATTAGGAATGTGGCATTTTAAAGGAACACTGTTCGGTTATGCTGGCTCTACTAGCCGATGCCTAATCGTGACGGTACGTTTTTTTCAACTACATTTACACCATTCAGATAAATATGTATTGCGACCTATATCGACTCAGCTCGAGTTCATTTCAGTAATTATTTTTCCGAGTTGCCAACGCAATGGGGCCAATTTCCCGAACGGAGTATTTGTTGGTAAATCGGTAAATCACGACAGACTGGGATTACTATTTCTGAGAAGAGATAATAATTAAAAGAATTATTTTCTTGGGAAGTAGATAAAAGATAAAATTTAGATCAAAGAACATTCTTTTCATTTCAGTTAAATAATTATTAATTGGACCAACTTCTCCAAGCAATGTATTATTAAAGAATTATTTTCTAATAAATGAAAGAAATATTGGAAAGTGGATTAAAGGTAAAACGTTCTTCAAAGATTATTCTTTCCTTTTGATTTGCTGGCGTTGCTCCCTGCTGAATGATACGGCCAGAATCAGCGTCATTTTGGCGCAAGTGTGTTAGTAAGTGATTATACGTATAGAACTACGAACGAAACCGTCTTCAATGTACGATATGCTTTTGAATATAAATTGCCATTGACCTTGACCTTTCTATTGAATCTATCAGTCATTGTACACGTCTTGTAAACTACACAGATTACTATTGTTAATATTGGAATTCTGATCTGAATAAACATTTAACAATTATTTCTTTCTTAATTCATCCTTACAATTAAAACTAAACTTATACTTTTGGGAAATTTACTGGAACAAAGGGGATCGTTATATCGGTATCATAAATTAATTAAACAATTTCGAAGGCCACCTTATTAATAAAAAAAACCCGATATTCTAGTCCCCTTAATCATCTACAATCCTTTTATTAAATAATAAAGATTGTAATCAAATAAAGAAACAGTTATCAAGATACGAAAACTTGGTTCTTTTATGTAACAGCGTGACTTGTAAGTATTATTAGGAACACGTGATTACTAGCAGATAAAGAAAAAATCGATTCAAGAACCACTTTATTCGTTCAATGCTTCGTATAAGATTATTCTTAAATATTTCCTGTGCACGATCTATTATTAGACAAAAGGCATGTGCCATTTGAATATTTCAGTATTTTGTACGTTGTTTCCTGATCGGTGTCGTATCCGCGAATCGGAAACGTATGAATACGTCACCAGAACGATACAAGTATTATTTACGACTAGTACACGTTGTATCTGGAAAACTGCCAGAATTTCAAATAAGTCGTCGACTAAAAATAAGTAATTTCACGTGTTGTATAATTTAAACCGTGCTACATAATGCACACGTGATAAGAAAATTGTGTCCTTTGTACCACAATGACATTCAATGGAAGACGATTACATTGGAAGTGAAACAATTTGGAAAGCTGCCAATTATGTACGTCAAACATTACGTACGCGATAGTTACGAATTACCTAACGGATTATGAAAATCTAACTTCGCTTTACTAATGTAGTCTTGACTCATGAACGTACTCTATGTTCCCTTAAAATTTCTTTAATAAACAAAAAAATATAAATTCAATTTTAGACTTTGCTATATGGATCAAGTTAAGAAATTTTCCAAAAGAAGAGCAGGGAAGAATA